AATAAATAGCCGGGCGTGGTGACTCATGCCTTTAATTGCAGCACTCGGGAGGCAGAGGCAGGCAGATCTCTGTGAGTTCAAGGCCAGCCTGGTCTACATAGTGAGTTCCAGGACAGCTAGGGCTACAGGGAGACCCTGTCTCAAAAAGACCAAAAATAAAATAATAAAATAAAATAAATAAAATTATTTTTGAAGTAGCTTCAATGGGGTTGGAGAGATGGTTCAGCAGTTAAGAGCACTGGCTGCTCTTGTAGAAGACCTGGGTTCAAATCCCAGCACCCACATGGCAGCTAACAACCCAGTTCCAGGGGATTCGACATCCTCTTCTGTCCTCCATGGGCACTTCATGACACCAGTGCACTTGTATACATATACACAATACAAGCACACACATAAAATAAAGTAGATTCAATTAACCTATAAGAGTTCATTGTTTTAGGCATGGTGGTGCACATCTTTAATGTGAGACTAAGGCCAGCCTGGTCTACACACTGAGTTCCAGGCCAACTGGGGCTACAGGGAGACCCTGTCCCAAAAGACCAAAAAAAAAAAAGCAAAAAAAAACAGAGTTTGTTCTTTTTTTGAAACAAAAATACTTAAAAAATATTAATAACTATCAGTAAATGAGTGTATATCCTAAAGGTTCCTGGGGTAGTTGAAGCAAAATGAAAGAAATCCAAAATCCTTTTTTGAACCTTGCGGGGGTCTCTCCCTCTCTTCGCGGGTCGTTGGCCACCGGTCCACGAGGGCAGGGGGAGCAGAAGCGACGAACGGAGTCAGGACGGCCAGTGAGCACTGACGGAAGAAAGCCCTTCCGGGGAGGCTGGTCCCAGGCGCAGTGAAACAGCAGTGATACAGCTCCAGACTCAGTGAAACAGCTCCGTTTATTCAGTGGGAGAACTAGAGAAATTATAGTGTGGAGGCAGTAGCCAAAGCCTCAGCTGATAGGTGCTCATAGTGTGCTTTATTTACATGTGGCAGTGGGCTCCTATCTTCCAGACTATCAGGCAATGCCTGATTATCATATAGAAAAAACCTGGGGGTAGTTTTTACTCCAGGTAACTATGCCAAAGGTCATGTTCCAAATAAGGTCAGGCATCCGTGCTTGGTGGCACTTTCCAGGTAAGCCAGGAAGAGAGCAGGAGGCCCCCTGCTGAAAAGGGGAGTCCTTCCATTTGGCGCCAAGCCCCTTAGGGTTATCCAGACATGGAGAACTGCAACCCTAACATCAGGGTTTCCCAACAGAACCTATCAATTATATCTTATTAACACAACGAACAATAATTTCCTTATTGGACTAAATAGGATTATCTTCCAAATACTAGTCCAGACCCATTTAGGTAAGTGTGTGTGTGTGAGTGTGAGTGTGTGTGTGTGAGTGTGAGTGTGTGTGTGGTGTGTGTGTGTGTAAGTGCGCTCACCTACGTGTACCCAGGTAGAAACCCGACGTCAACTTTGGGTGTCTTCCTCAATTGCTCTCCACTTTATTTTTCAAGACAGGGACAGGGTCTCTCACTGAACCTGGAACTCATCATTTCCGCTAAACTGGCTATCCAGCAAGCCCCCAGGAAATTCCTGTCACCCCCGAGCTTAGTGCTGAGGTTACAGATGGGTCCCACCATGCTCATGTGGTGCTGGGAATATGAATGTAGGTCCTCAGGCTTGTGAAGCAAGCACTTTACCCATTGCAGGTGCTGTGCACAGAGAGATAAGACACCAAGGCTTTCTTTTCTCCAAGAAGCAGTTTATTTGTCCTAGCACCTGGTTATGTGGGTTTCTACCCAAAAGATAGAAAGCCCCAAACACTGGGGCTGGAGAGATAGCTCAGCGGTTAAGAGCACTGACTGCTCTTGCAGAGGACCCGGGTTCGATTCCCAGCACCCACATGACGGCTACGAACCGTCCTAAACTCCAGTTCCAGAGGACTCTGAAGCCCTCTTCTGACCTCCGCAGCATTGTACAACATGAGTTCACTCCCAAACACTGGGGCTGGAGAGATAGCTCAGCGGTTAAGAGCACTGACTGCTCTTGCAGAGGACCCGGGTTCGATTCCCAGCACCCACATGACGGCTACGAACCGTCCTAAACTCCAGTTCCAGAGGACTCTGAAGCCCTCTTCTGAGCTCCGCAGCATTGTACAACATGAGTTCACTCACATACATGCTGGCAATACACTCATACACATAAAATAAAAATAATAACTAAAATATTAAAAAAAAGAAAGCCCCAAAGAACAACCCAGGCTTTTATACCCTCTGTTAGTTCCCCTTTACAGTTCAGTTTGTCTCCCATCTAAAGTAACACACGCAGGCAGAACTGTGTCCGTCAGTCACTATGTGGGTGCTGGGAATCATACCTGGGTCCTCTGAAAGCGTAGCTAGTGCTCTTAACCACAGAGCCACCTCTTCAGCCCCTGATAGGAATTCTTGTCTTAAGCACTATTCCATTGCAGAACAGTTGTCTGTTCTATATCATAAGAAGCCTTCTACCCTGTCTCAAAAAACAAAACAAGGGGGCTGGAGATATGGTTGGGAGTTAAGTGCACATTCAGCTCTTGCAGAGGACCTGAGTTTGGTTCCCAGCACCCATGTTGGGCAGCTCACAACCACTTGCAACTCCAGCCCCAGGGGATTTGATGTCCTCTTCTGGACTCCATGAGCACCTGCACTCACACATGCATATCCCCCATACACATAGATATACACTTTTTTTTTTTTTTTGGTACTTTTGAGGCAGGGTCTCCCTGTAGCCCCAGCTGGCCAGGAACTCACTATGTATACCAGGCTAACCTCGAACTCACAGAGATCTGCCTGCCTCTGCCTTCCAAGTGCTGGGATTAAAGGTGTGTGCCACCATGCCCAGAATTTTTTTTTAAATCTTTAAATATGTATGTATATATTTATTTTATATATATGGAATCTGCTTCATTGATTCTCAAAGAAGATATCACACACAATTCTACAATGTGCTTTCTGTAGCCAGTATTTTCCACAAATTCTCCTCCACCTCAGGTTCCTGAGAGCAATCTTAATCTTTAATAGCTGTGTAGCTCCTGTCCCTTTCCAAAGTACTAGAGAATTTGTCATGAATTTCTTCATTTTTCTGGTGCATCTCTTCCCTAGGCAGGCATAGCTTGCTTTGTTGACTCCATATTTTTTAACTGCTTATCCACATTCTGTATATATCTTGACAAAACACAGTGTCCTACAGAAATATGTGGGTGATATGTTCTGGGAACATTTCTTGTCTTCATTAGTCTGATTTCCTCTGGGCCTTCAGATGGGAACAAACTTATGCAACTCCTCAGTTGGACTTACTCTAGTCAAACTGGAAATCATTATCCAAGTTACTGACACACCAGCTCCATTCTCTATAACAGCACGTTTTATACCCTTAACATCATCCCATTTGTTTGCTGATTTGTAATCATCCAGCTTCAGTGGAAGCTCATTAGAGGAAGAAACTGCTTAGGGTTTAGAAAAATGTATCATATAAAATAAGTGTTCAAAAATATTTGCTGAATGAATAACCATATAATCCTAACACAACAGATTCTGAAATGTATCCCTTCCTGAAGCTCTGGGTTTCCAGCTCAAACACACACACACACAGACACACATATACCATACACCAGACATACACACACACACACACACACACACACACACACATATATGTGTACATTGATGTGTGTCTGTGTGTGTTAGAAGCAAGAAAATGATGCAGTCTAAAAACTAGCTCTGTAGCTCCAAGAACAAAATCATCAGTGGGTATTCTGCTTCATGTGTATAAAACTGATGGAGTTGGACTGCACCCAAGAAATATTCTAAGAGGAAATGAAAGGACTTTGAACTACCATCCAGAAATTTCTCTCCCATTTCTTGCTCATATCGAAAAATCAGATATTTGACTTTTCATCCCTAAATTCTTCCTCAAGCATTTAAAAACTTCTTATATGGGGCTGGAGAGATGGCTCAGAGGTTAAGAGCACTGACCGCTCTTGCAGAGGACCCAGGTTCGATTCCCAGCACCCACATGGCGGCTACAAATTGTCCTTAACTCCAGTTCCAGGGGAATCCGAAGCCCTCTTCTGACCTCCGCAGCATTGCACGACATGGGTGCACTCACAAACATGCAGGCAATACATTCATACACATAAAATAAAAATAATAAAATATTTTTTAAAAATTC